CGCCGAGCCCACCGCGCTCGCCGGCCACGTGGGATTTCCCACGGAGGCTTTTCCGTTTAGCAGAGAGGTCTCTGAGATGGCGAAGGGGCTTCAATTCCTCCGTTTCCCGCGGGAACGCGATTCCTGCCAAAGCTGCTCGGCTCAAACCAACGGATCCACACGGCCACAAGCGGCCACGGAGCCGCAGCCGACAGCCAAGAGCGACGGCCCCGAGTCTGGGGGGCTCAAAACCCCCCCACCCCGAGGTGAAAATGCCTTTAATGAAGCACGGAGCTCATCAGCCCAGTGCTGAAGCTCTTAAAAACCACCCACCAAAGTATCCTGTGCTCCCACTGGGCTGTTCCCACTCCGGAGCGGGGCAGAGCGGTGCCGAGCAGCCTCCAAACTGGGATAACCCAGCAGCAAACCCCAAAACTCACAGGGCTGCAAGAAAACGTGATGCCCATGAGAATGGGAGGGAGGAGAACCGTCCTCATCAGGTTTTGAAGTACCCACTCTGCCCCAAAGAGCTGAAATCCGTACCCGGATTCAGAAAGCCGGCAGTTTTTCCCGGTTGGTTGGAAGAGATCTCGGGAAGGGTCCCAGGAAAGCAAGCGCTCGAACATGGCACGTCCTTGGACGAAACGGCCGGTTGGCATCGCTGCGTCTCTCTCTGCAAATTTGGCCCAAAATTCCGGGCTAAGCAGCCAAATCCAGTGCCAGGAGGGTCAGCGGCCGCAGCAGAGAGTGTCCCCTCGCCCTGGCACCACTTGGGCCACCAGTCAGGAATCTGCCATGATTTATTTTGTCTCAGAAAGGTCACTTCCCCCCTTTCCCTCCAGCCTTTCGAATCCAGGCTGCAGAGCAAATCTTATTTTTTTTTTTATTTTTGGGCTACGGCTTCCCCCCAGTGTACCCTTACGACGAAGGGATCGGGAGCCCATCATCCTCGTCAGGCTGCGCCCGTGATGAGGTGGGGACCGATGGGCTCACGTTGGGCTGCAGCATTGCCCCAGACCCTGGGGGGGGGTGCATGGCTTAAATTAGGGTCTCACACCCCCTCGACACTTCTCATGCTATAAATATGCTGCTTCTACCTGCAGAGAGGGCACAGCTGGGCACGGGTGCCCACGTCCCTGCGCTGAATCGGGTCCCTGCAGGGACACCAGCCTGGAGGAGAAATGTCATGCAAGGAGGGTGCACGAGGTGACCCCAATTGCTGGTGGAAAATAATAAGAAAAGGGTCTTTCAGGGACAGCCCGTAGTGGTGGGTGCAAGAAAAATGAGAGTCCTTTTGAAGTTGGCTTCCTTGGAAGACCCAGTGGTCCCTCACCCCAGCGCCGGGGCCGACACAAGGAGGGGTTAATGCCGCGGTGCCCGGGGAAAAATGGGAGCCCTGATCCTGTTTAGGGGACAACGGGGGCTCTTGGGAGCTGGGCTGGGCTCCCATGAAGTGTCCCCAAAGTCCACAGCTCGGCAATGTCCTCTGGAGCCTTCTGCTCCGGCTCGTGGGCTGCAGGAAACGTCGGCGCGTCACTGACCCATCTCCCCTCGTTCCCCTTTTCTCCCAACCCAATGAGACCTTTAGGTTGAAAATACTAAAAATGGACTGAAAATAGGATCTGGAATAATCCTATATTCCCCTTTGCTGGTGACTGAAAGGATGCTCAGGTGGTGGCTGGATGGTGCTGAGCTTTCCAAACAAGGGGCAAATCTCGCTGCCCCGGCATCCTCGCTCAATATTTTATTCCCCGCAGCGCAGGACGCCTACGGATCCAAAGGGATTACGGATCCCATCTCATCTGCAGCACTTTAGGAGAGGGGTAGGACAAAGCCCGGTGGGCTGGAGGCCCCCGGGCC